GAGAGAGAGAGAGAGAGAGAGAGAGAGAGAGAGAGAGAGAGAGAGAGAGAGAGAGAGAGAGAGGGACTTCAAGGAAGGTTACAGATTTGGCATGAGATAGCATTGCCGACAGCGATTCTGCCAGCTGTGTAAGTGCGATGATTGCAAAGCTGAGAGTGGTAAGGGTGAAGAGTGCAACCGGTATCAGAAATAATAAATAATTTAAGTAGAGATTGCTCTACGGCCCTCTGCCCCTGATCCTGCGGGGGAGCGAAGACGCGATTTCTGAGGTTTTTGAGAGTCTGACAGCTCTTGAAGGCCTCTTGGAGATTTTTCAAGCGTCAAGAGTAGTGGAGCTGCACAGGAGCAAGACCCATCATTGTTGAACTGACCGGCCCCAGGTAAATTCTGAGTTGTTGAAAGGACCACTGGAATTCGCAAAAACATAGGTCTGTATCTCTTTATTTTTTTTCTTTTTTTTTTGAAGCAAATGCTCCAATCTATTCGTGGGGAGCAGCACGTGCTGGGAACCGGGCCGGAACCGGGCCCAGCGTCCCATATCGAATTGTACAGATCATTAAGAACATTTGATTCTCAACAGTACATAGATGTACCCACTGAGCTAGGCCAGATGGTTGTGGTCTCTTCTAATATCCATAGCATTGGCTCTGGATCCCATTCAGGTCCAAGTTTGGGCCCTCCACAGGGTGTTCTCCTTGTCAGTCCTTGATTACATCTACTAAGCTAGCCTGGGGCCGGAAGCAGGCAATTCTGCTATTAATAGGTTTCCCCGGCCATCGCGAAGACTATTGCATGGCTGCCTGCTATAGGTTTCCATGACTGCCAGAGCAATAAATGGTGACCCTCATGGAAACTGTTTCCCCCCCCCTGTTAGCCACCAGTACTTCCGCAGAAGTCGCAACTTCCGGAGAAGTCACGACTTCCGGAGAAGTCTCGACTTCGGGTGCATGCTGCCAGCCATTGCTACAGTGCCGCCAGGTTTCCACTTGAATGAATTTATGCCAGCACCCCAGGCCCGTTCATCCCAGCAGCCTGCAGCGTGCATGCAGCCGCTACTTTCAGAAGTACTGGTGGTTTAAACCACCCATGTACTTCCTAAAGTCGTGCCCGTTAACGCGCCACGATTTTAGGAAACGTACAGGCTACTACAGGAGCACCCAAATTCATCTGTCAGTGACTAGAAACGTTTCTACTCTATTTTTTTTCCACGGCCGCTAGCTGGGCCAAGTACTGGTGGTTTGAACCTGGTCCACCAGTACACACCATGATACATCCATCCATCCATCGGCCACGGGAAACCGCCACAGAGGGCCCCCGGGTCGATGTAATTTATCACCAGTGGCCAAGCCGAGCCCCGACTTTTTCGGATGGAGACAGAGTTCTGTTTCAGCAAGGCTGAGGCCGTGTACTTGTGGT